TTTTCAGCAGATGTGCTGGTTTATGCAGACCAGGCTCAAATACAAATAAAGACTTGTTTGTTCACTTGGAATAAGGATTGGAATAAAGTGGTAGAATACACCTATGCCTTCAGAACAGTCTCTTGATAAGAGTGCCATTTATAATCTTTGTGAGTGAACTTGAGCCCTGAGGAAATTTTGGTAATAGCAAATCAGGTTTCTAGAACTGCTGGCTCAAAAGAATGACCCTGCTGCTCTGAGAGGTGAGTATTTCTGAATAACTGAAATACCGTTCTGTGTGTCTGAGATCTGTAGAACCAATGACTTTTGGTAGTACTAAAGTACCACAGTGCTTTATCTGTGGTATAATTGGTCCTGTAAATAGGATGAATACAGCAAAACAGATCTCATTTTTGAGTGAGAAGAATGCCCGGACTTGCTGCATTTTTCAGTGCTGAAGTCTGGATTAGTGCAGTTTATGTGCGATGAAGCAACATAAAAATGAGTAGCTTAATATAGTTTGAGGAGTGCAGTTCATTGCCTTTCTTAGCACCCGCATCCTCCATACAGCACATAAGAATCTGGTACTTTTTCATTTTTCTACAGTCTCTTTAACAATGACTCATTCCCATATGCCAAAAATCCAGCTGGTTTTATTCTTGAAATAAATTAACATGACAGCTATCCTGAAAAATGAGCAACATTCCTGCGTCTTACATGTTCTCTAGAATGCATCTGCTTTTAGGAGGATTACTTTCTGACTAAGTTCTTCCATTTTAGATGCAAGTACTGAGTGGCCTGAAAGTTCATGCATGTGTCTGCGAGGATTTCTATGGGCAGATATGAGCTGCTAATGATCTGAGCTGTCTGGACTTAAGCCAAAACAGTCTGAAGTCTATCTGTGTATCTGTGCTGGCAGATTGCTGTCCCTGAGCTCAATGCACCTACAAAGCTTCCAAACCAGAATTGGTTGGGTGTTGACCAGCTTGTTCCCAGGAAGATATCTGCAGCCACTGGCATATATGTACCCTTTATTTAACAGTTTATGCTGGCATAGGCACTAGTTGCTGACAGTGATGGGTGTTGCTGGACAGCATTGCTCATGTAGACAAAGACAAAGTATATATAAGCAAGAGTAAAATTATAACCTCAGGTGGGAGAAGGATATGAATAAATATGTATAAATACTTCCCGTAGGACAGCCCAGTTAAGATTATGCTTATGCCCAGTATTTAAGGAAAAACAGTCACATTCAAAATGATCATAATCCTGAGTTACTTTTGTCTGTATTTTTTTTATAGGCCCCAAAATTGTCAACGTCTAATATCTTAGAAGAAGACTTTAATATGGATATTTCTATAAGCACTTGCTACCCACCAATCTTCTTTTTAATTAGTTATTCAATAGACTAATCAGTCTGACACCAATTACGAGGTGTGCTGTAATTCTCTACAACTTCCTGCTAAAGCTAGGTGGGGACAACTGAGTGAAAAACTAAATTTAAAATCAAACTAAATTAACACTTTTATTTAAAATATAAATATATCCCTGCTTTAAAAAAAAATACTGTTTTGCTACTTTCAAAATTAATTACTTCACTTTAGAAATGCTAAAACATTATATGTAAAATCAAAATTTTGTTTAAAAATAGTTCAATTGAAAGAGATGTAAACCACTATGTGAAACAAATGGGAATTATAGTACTTGGTCAGACAATTGAGGCACTCCTACATATGCCACAATATGAGTTCAGCATAAATGGCATTATTTACATTCATTTCTAAATTTTAAATCTTTAGCAGTTCTTTTTTCTTTGCTGCGTTTCAGGGATTAGGTTCATCACTTCAACCTTTGATATCTCATACCGTTTCTGCACGCACTTGTACTCTCTGCTGTGATCTTTTATCTTTTGTCATTCTGACTTTCTTTATGCCCTGTCCTGGTTTCGTCTGGGATAGAGTTTTCTTCCTAGTAGCTGGCATAGCACTATGAGTTGGGTTTAGGATGAGAAGAATGTTGATAACTCACTGATGGTTTCGTTGTTGCTGAGCAGGGCTTACACCAGTCAAGGACTTTTCAGCTTCCCCTGCTCTGCCAGGGGCACAAGAAGCTGGGAGGGGGCACAGCCAGGACAGCTGACCCCAACTGGCCCAAGGGCTATTCCAGACCATATGATGTCATGCTTGGTATATAAACTGGGGGGAGTTGGCTGGGGGGGCAGCGAATGCTGCTTGGGAACTGACTGAGTGTTGACTGGCATGTGGTGAGCAGTTGCATCACGTGTTTTTCATGGGGTTTGTTCCTTTTTTGTGGTTTTCCTTTTCACTACAATTTTTTATCATCATCATCATTATTGTTATTCTATTTGATTTGAATTATTAAACTGTTCTTAACTCAACCCACGAGTTGTCTTTTGCTCTTCCAATTCTCTCCCCCTTCCCACTGGGGCAGGGGATAGTGATCGGCTATGTGGGGCCTGGTTGCCAACTGGGGTTAAACCACAACAGCCTTGAATCAAATAAATATACTTTTTTGTCCCCGCTTCCTGCTTTGGCTTAGTTTCCGGTGCATCACATTTCCTGTCTTGCTTCAGAGACCCTGTGTGTTTTGGACATTGTTACACAGAGCCCTATGAACAATTAGTGCTACGCACCTTTACATCTGAATGCAGGCAAAAGAGAGGAAACAAAGCACTTGGTGATGATCGCATGCGATGTAGTGCTCCTTACATATATAATTTAGCAAACTCTAGTAATGTTGCAGTTTTTCAGTAGCTTTCACCCATTTTTCATTCCCTATACTCAAGTACCTGGCCAAAAGCTGTATATTTGATAAGAATTTTGTTTTAAGGCCTGCCAAGAAATAAGAGGGCTTTTATTACTGAATGATTCATCAGTGCAGAAGTTGTTTTTGGTCCTGCTGGAGTATTTTGTATGATGCAGAGATAATTGCCACTGTTGTAAAATATTTTCATTGAGAAGAGTTGACATAAAACACTGCACAGAAACTGATCTGTCAGCTTTTGTTGTTTGGTGAATCATAATGTGTTGTATATTTTGACTTTCTTTTTGCTTGAAAGATCTCTGTGAAAGTTTAAAAAAAAAGTAAATTTGCTCTATTTGTGCTTTCAAACACAAAGGTGGCATTTCACATGAGAGTTTAAACGTTGCTGGGGATTTTTTTCTATTTCCCAATTCAATGGATGCTTTAGAGAAAGTAGCAACATATAAGAAATATGTAAATGTATTTTTGGGACTAAATTCTTTCATCTTTTGAAGCTGAAAAATAGTTGGAGCTAAGTTCTTTCACCTTTTGGGGACTAAATTCTTTCACATTTTAAAGCCAAAATCCTGGTGTTTTACTGAACAGGATGTATATGGGCTTGGAGCACAGGAAATGTTGAAGACTGGCAAATACAGCCATTTTTAAGAGTAGCTTTTAGAGCTACCTCCCTTCCCTGCCACCCATGAGGTTGTGTTCTCTTCCTTAGCACATACAAGCCCAGTGATGCAATGTGCAAGGGTAAGAGTTCATGTCTTTATAACATAGTGGCACATGATGTAGGTACACATCCTGTATAAGTCATTTCCGAAAATTTTGTTTGTGGAGGGCTGAAGAACGGTAGGGTCAGCAGCTCTGGAGCCGTATAATCCAATCCATTTGCAGTGGAGCCAATGGTCAGTAGGACAGCCATAAAGTTCCTGTCCAAGCCCTATCAAAGGTTTGGCAGGCTGCATTTTGGAAGCATAACTTCCAAAATCTGTATGCTAAAACGTGTGCCCTCATTTGACTTTTTCTGCCTTTCATGTACTGTGGGCCCTTTTTTGAAAGGAGCCACTCAGAAGTAAATTTTTTACAAGGAATTAATAGGTGTTTAAATAAAGGACTGTGTGTGATTCTCTCATCCCAGACCCTTTGTAATCCAATGCCAAAGTTTTTCTGAGTTTTAGACTGATTGTTGCAAATATTTGACTTTTATTATTTTTTCTTCAAAAGTCTGTGACAAAATGTTTCATAAACAAATAAATGGTCAGTCTGGCTGCAAGCGTTCAGCAAATTAAGCTTTCTTCAGTACTTCTCCAGTAGGTCTAATTGACCCAAAAGTCAGAACCTGGAGACTAAATACAGTTGTCTAAAGACAAGGCACTATTCTGCTCTGATCTTCTTGGCACGTGGCCCTTGGCCGTTGTGTTGATTTTGTAGTAATGGATGAGAACATTAGAAAATAGGTGAAGAATCCTCTCTTCTTCTGCCTAAATTCTACTTCAGAGGCCCAGGAATGTAGGTGACCACAGTAGCATTCCCATAAGCTCTACTTGGATGCTAAAGCATAACTTCATTCTGCAAGAACAAAGAAACCCAAAATAAGCTCCAGGGTTGCTATTGGAATGTCTGATATATCCTTGAATTCGCTGATTGTAATGTCTTTGTGAATGTAATATGAAAAGAAATGTTTGAAATTAAGATGTACCTTCAGTTTATAAATCAACCACAGTTGGAAACAAAACTAAAATACATCTTAAATATCATAACTGTGTCTATATACACACATGCTTATATATACACACATATGCATGTGTACCTACAGTAAATATTTTTTTTTCTTTTAGGTGTATGCTAAGAGTTCTGGATTCCTTTGGAACTGAACCAGAGTTTAACCATGCCCATTATGCCCAGTCTAAAGGCCACAAGACGCCATGGGGAAAGTGGAACCTTAATCCACAGCAATTTTATACAATGTTCCGTAAGTATTCCTGTGTATATAAATAATTTGGAGCTTTAAAAAGGAATGCTTTCATTGAGAAGGATTTTTGTATTATGGAAGACAAGTTGATGGTTTAATAAAACACAGCTGCTAAATGGGCAGAATCGTCTCAATAAGTGTCTGTAGACAATGCAAAAGCTCTAAAAGACAAGTTGATGGTTTAATACTGCTAAATCGTGTCAATACTGGGCAGAATCGTGTCAATAAGTGTCTGTAGACAATGCAAAAGCTCTATGGTCCTTCCATCCAATGATCAGAAAATAACAGTATCAACTTAATATAAATAATGGTAGGAAACTTGATTCTCAGCATACCTGTGGAAAATTCCATATAAATTGGGTCAGATAAAGTGATTACAGTGACCTGCTCCAGCCCTAGTCTTTGACTTTATGACACTGGGTTCTAGAATCAAAGGATCTTTCTCTTTTGCATGTTTTATTAGTGGTTCAAGTTTATCTGTGAAGGGTGCAGAAAGATTCGCCACTGCCAGCTAGCTTTAGGGTCAGTGAGGCTTAGGAAAGAGAAAAGTGCATGCTGTTGTGTGCAGCAACTTCTCAGCCCAAGTCTGTAAAGAAAAATTTGCCAGTGACCAGCTTGACCTCCAAAGTTTGGTGGTCCCTGCCTGAGGCTAAGGCCAGGGCATGCACTGTTCTCTCTCATGAGACTTCATAGTCAAGTCTTTCAAACTTTTCTGCTTTTCATAGCAGAATTACACATGCTGCTGTCTGGTTGGCATGCCTTTGATTTCAGTTGCCCTGTATATTTCTTGAAGCATATTTTGTCTGTCAACATTTGCTGTGCAAGTTTTTCCAGAGAAATATAAGTGAAGGTTGTTCAAAAGATAAAAGGCTGCATTCACAGTTGTTTCGAAGCAAGTAACAAAACGCGTGGTGGGGAAATGTGACTTGGAAGTGGTTGCAGAGTTTGTGTCTGGACATTAGTAAGCAGAGCTTGTTCTGTGACCACATGATTTGCTAATATTTATTGGTTTATGTCCTAAATGGCAAAGGAGCCGAAAGCTCAATTGTGCTGTATTTAAGTAGTCCAGCTGTTGGGAAATTTATATGTGAGGTCTTGTTAAGATAGCCCTATGGGTGATGATGCACTTGAGGAAAATAGTTGCGTGAATACTCATGGTATTGCTCTGTGTGTGCCCTCCTCAGACCCGCTCTGTGAAATGGAGAAGTAAACCTTCTCTATAGAGAAGATCTCTGTTGTGGCAGTATGGACTACTGTTACAGACACTCTCCTTCAGAGCAAATCACTTCATAATAAATTTTCAGAAGAGTATATTGGAATTTCCATAAATAACCATTTCCAATTTTTACTACTGGAAGTGACTGCTGGTTTTCCTTTGCAAGGAAGATTGGCACAGAGATTGCAAGCAAACTTATTCTGAAACATGAGTGATTCCAGTGCTATAGATTATTCAAGAATTTTGCTGCTTTTGTGCTAGGTGCAGAAGAGTAAGTGTTCTGCAATATTTAAAATTTATTTTTGTTTTTAGTTTTCTGCTGCAGAGATAGCACCATCTTTATGGTGTTGTGATTAAAAGTGTATGTTATGCATCAGTAAAGATTTTATGATAGAATGGAACCCTGGACAGCTTCCCGAGATCCCCAGACTCTATTATGTTTTGAGAACTCTGATTATAAGGGCAGAAAATCATTACTGAGCAACAAGCAGGCCACATTCAAACCTGTGGCATATTACCAAATGCTTGATTGTTCTCTGAGCTTTCCAGAAGCATGGGAGTATTTTTCCCCTTTTTATGTTTTTTGTTTAAATTCTTCTATGCAAAATAACAGCACTGGTACTTTTAAAACTGCATGATCTTGCTTAAAAATCCATCTGAGTGCTTCCTGTCAGTGATGTTTGAGGCACTGAATTCCACCAGTTCTAAGTGCTAACTTTAACAAAGGTTTATTTTTCTTTTGAGTGTGTACTGCTTTGCCTCTCCTTTGAATGCAGTCTCTCATCCAAAAATATGAAAGGATGGAAAAATGCCCCTTTTCAGGCATATTTGCAACGTGTCATTTGCTATGCTAAATTCTAAAAAGTCCTTGGGCCTAAGTGAGTGCCTAGCTGTTGCTGAGGCATTTTTTGTGAAAAAGAGTAATTGTCATTTGAAAGACTAAATGTAATGGCAGAGGGAAGTGTACACTGTGTATGGTTTCTCTGTTCTACTGCATTATCCAGTTGGCTGATTTTCAGGAATCAAAAAGCAAAACCTCAAAATGTCAATATAATTTATTTTTCTTTCTTAGGACTCTGACCATAGGTGTCACAAGTGCCCAGGACATTGTCTTTGGGGTTTTTTTTTTGGTTTGGTTTTTTTTTTAACTTTGCAAAGTATGCTTAGTAAGGATTTCTCAGCTTGTGTACCAGAATTTAAAAGCGAGACTTATAGAGGAGATCCTAGCATATATCGCAGCCTATTTCTATGTAAATTTGTGAGGCTATGACACTTTTTAGAGAGGCGCAAAAATCCCACATGTTGGAGTAATTTTTATATAGTAGGGGTGGATTTTTACCTGAAGCCTGGAATGTTGGAGTCCATCCTCAGAATTAAACACCCTCTCTACAAAAAGAAAAAAACCCAAAATGACAAAAACCCCCTTAGTTTTAATGAGCATATAGGTCTATATCTTTATAGGAGGAGAACAGTGACCAGTATTGCTGGATGTCACTGCTGGAAAAAAACAAAAAAAACCACCAAAGGCTAAAAATAATATAGAAAACTAAGCATATATTGCATATCCTTTGCATGCACTTTTTTTTTTGTCTGGGTGCTGGATTAACAACAATTTTGCCAGCCTCAGTTGTCACCTTTCACTATTTTATGATAGATATGTCTGAGTGAATTAGGCAGTGAAATTTGTATTCGGCTCTGCGTAGTGTGACTTTGTAGGCAAGTAATTAGCATGGATACATAATATGCAGTGAGTTGGATGGTTGGTGTTAGCTCTTCCAATGTAGGAGGTGAACCCAAAAAATTTGCTAAAATTTATTTATGACATTGAGCAACATGCAACTTTCTTAACAAGCATGAATCCAGGGTGTTTTCAAATTGTTGGTATTGCATCTCTGTCAAGCTGGATTTCTTCTGGTTCTCTTATCTCTAATAATAAAATAAAGCTCAGCACACAAAAAATCATTATCATTGGCTTCGGTCCAGCTACAGAATTTTTGTCAGAAATGAGCCAGAAAATAACTGCTTGCTTCAGTAGGCATATGCAGCAGAACTTAAAATAAATAAGAACTATTCTTAATAATAGAACAAGCAAATGTATCTCTCAGTATGAATGTGAAGGAAGTGATCTGTTGAATAATATGTTCCTTGTACCTGCTTTTCTGACAACATTCATGCTTTTGTAACATTAACTGATACTTTAAAACATTTTGAATATGCTCCATTTCTTGCAGCTCACACTCCGGATAACAGCTTCCTTGGATTTGTGGTAGAGCAGCATCTGAATTCCAGTGACATTAAACACATTAATGACATCAAAAGGCAGAATCAATCTCTCGTTTATGGCAAAGTAGATAATTTCTGGAAGGTGAGTTTTCTATACTCATGTACTTCAGCAAATTTATTTTGATCGATATAATAAAGCATAACTCTAAATTTCTAAGTATCCCTTTTCTCTAAATCTATTAAGTCATTTTTATGAAGATAAACATATTTAAATAATTAACCTGAACATTTTTAAATCTTTCTGATCAGGAAACTTCTGTCTAGATTGATGTGGATCCTTTGCTATTTATGTACACCTCTCTGATAGAATAAACAAGTCTTAAGTTTTGATATCACAAGTTACCTCTAGCTCTGTGTGCCCATATACCCTGTATGCCTTCCCTCCTGCCTAAAAAGACCTTATTTTAAGCCTCTTGTCAACTGAAAAAGGAACTGATCAGTGCATGCTGTGCCATACATAGGACCAAACGATACAACAGTATGAGAGCACCTGTGTCTCACATTTTCTTTCCTTTTCTCTTCATTGGCAAGAGAATATTGGTCTTGCACAGTTTCTGAACCACAGAAGCAACATTTGGTCTGATAACTCTGATTATACAAAACAAAAACTTAAGAGAAATGGGAGAATGTTGCCAGTGGTAGCAAAAGGGTAGAGCTGAATGCTTCTTGGCTACTGTGCAGAGAAATATATGTGTATCAGCTGTGCACATTTGATTGTGATCTCTCAGGTTTATATTTGCTCTTACTGCACTAAGCCATGTAATCTGTGTTTTAAAAGGAAATTTTGCTTTGCATCATAGTAAATACTGTGACAATTATTCTATTAGGCTCATGGTATAGAATGACTTAATATGCCCTTGTCTGCAGTCTCTTCTTCTGTCTGCAGGATTCTGGGATCCTTTCAAGGCTTTTCTGGCTGAGGCTCTTGTACTTTTAGTTCCTGATCTCATTATCAGTCTCTCAGGAACAGTTGCACGCAGTAATCATGTATACTTCCTGACCTGATTTGTAGTGCATATCAGCAGAACAACCTGTTGAATACTAGTTGGATTTAAGGAACAAGATAGTTGCTTAGTCACCAGAGTTTTTTTCACTGACACATATATCTTCCTTGGTTTATTCAGTCTACATGAACTCAGGAATATGTATTAATAGCTTATGTGCCTAGAGGGGCGATTTCTGATTGTCTAGTCTGAGATTCTGTATGACACACAGGATATTCATGGGCTGATTAAGACAAAAACATGGTTTTTTGGCAAAGCACATCCAATCTTGATTTTTAAATAGCACATGATGGAAACCCCACTATTTCCTCTGGTAAGTCCTCAAATAATTGCCTTCTCCCTTAAGAATTTGCATTATTTGTGGTACAGATTTTCAAATGGTAATTTCCAGTCTTAGTAGAAGTTACAGACTTTGTCTACTGGACTGAAGATGTTTCTGTTCTGTTTCCCTGTAGGAATAGATAGTTTGAGGTCAAAGTAACCCATACTAGTCTCCTGAAAAGCTTGTCTGTGCTGAACCAGAGCGCTTTGTGCTTTCTAATCCTTAGGTGTTCTTCACGTATCTGTTTTCTCTAAACCTTTTCAAGATTATTCACATCCCTCCTGAAATGCGAATGTTAGCAAAGGGCACATGGATATACCAGCACCCAATCAAAAAGAAATGCTATATGCATTGTTAGGCATAACCCCCTTTTCACCATTAGGAAATCATGTTTAGATGACTTCTCAGCCAAGACCCTTGTACTATTTTTTAGAACTGCTGTTTTTCAAGTTACTGCTGTGTTTCTGTAGGCATTGCCTGTCTTGTTTCCTCCAAGATGTATGACTTAATACCTGGCCATATGACAGTGTTTACTGTGTGCTCGTAACATCAAGCACATTAAAAATTTGCAGACTGTAACTGCAGTCATGCCCATATGCACTGGTACATAAAGTGCAATCACTGCAGATAGGCTTTGAATCAGTGACAGTGTGGGATGTCTTATCTGCAGTGATAAAATCCAGTTCTTGTGATCAACAGAAAGCCTGAATTAATCTTGTGTCTGTAATTTGCTTATTTCATGTTTCCTTCATTTTCCCTGTTCAATGCTCTTTTCATCTGCCACCATGGCTTGTACAGAACCAGACTATTTATCCTGCTACTTTTCTTTAGATTGAACATGGCCAATTAACAAAAAGTGTAATCTCCACAGAATACACGTGTCACTGCTCGGTCTGATCAGTCATTAGAGAAGCACAGTGTGAAGGGGAGAGCGTTCCAGTCCCCAGACTGAGGTGCTTTTGGGGAACAGCAGTTGCAAATAAATTGTTTAATTTTAAACCAAGCAGGTTGAAATGGAACTGAGGTATGCACAGGACCTTTTTCCCCTGAGGGTGGGACTTGAGCAGCTAACTGCCATCATGGTTTTATATAGCCGTCAACACGGGTTCTTTTCTGCATCTGGTTAGGCCTGTAAAAAAAGAAGAAGATGCCAAATTACTTGTCATTTCATCTTTGCAAGAAATCCCCATATTCCCAGCTCTGCTGTGTGGAAGGAGGCTAGCTGAGAACACCTGCTTAAACGATGTACACTAACCAGGTTATTGTAGCTAGAGAATTATGGATTGCTTACAATGTTCTGTCTTCCCACATCATTCAGTGGGGCTAAACTCTGGTTTGAACATGACAAATAACAGGAGGAGGAATACAGTCATTGATTTTGTCAGCTCTGCTGGATACAGAAAAAAATGTCAGCCCGTGGCCTGAGACCAGCGGCATTCATCCCATGTTATGGTGAGGAAGTCTAGGTACATCTCACTGGAGATCAGGAGGGGTGTAAACTGCAGACTGTAAGAAACACCTTGCTTACTTCCTTCTGATAACTAAGTCAGTCTTAAGTGGGTTGAGGATTACAAATAGGAGGCTCTAAAGAATTTAGCTACATTTCTAAAGATTATCCTGAGAGGTAAACTATGAAAGGCAACATTTACCAAGTTTGGGATGTGTTTGTTATAATCAAAGGTTTGGGTTTTTGTCTGGGATTTCTGGCAGTACTAAGGAGAGACCTATCTCTGCCTAAGTAAAAAAGAAGGAATGAATAAAATGTGAGTGTAACCCATAATGCTCTCCACTATCAAAATTGGCTTTAATTACAGAACATTTCAATTAAAGGGGAATGTTTGAAGCCTTTCATGTAGTCTTAGCTCCTGTTTTGGTCTAGGTCTTTTCTTTTTTCTTCTTCCTGCAACTTCCTGTCATAGTATTCCAATACTTCTGCCCTTAATCTTAGAAAGAAAAGAGAGTCAAGATTCGTTTTACTGTATTTGCTATTTCTTTTTTTGTGGGGTGCTGTGAGAGAAGTCAGAATTTTGCTTGTATCAGAAAATACCCATCAATGCTTAACATACAATCATATGATAATTGCTATAATAAATTGTATTATACTGTATTGAAATTGAGTTGCTGTAAAAATATTTATATATTTAAAGGCAAAAGAATGTGTGCGTTTGTTACTAATGCTACTTGACAAAGTGGGCATTCTTCTTAAATGTATACTGGCAGCATAACAAGTTTTGAAGAACTGGAAATGGGAAATGGTTACATTTAGCTTGTTCTCAATGGGAAAGGACATAACCAACGCTGCTCTTACTAACAGCCTTTATAGCTCCATGTGACACATGTAATTTCCCATTCATATGCCCTCTTGCATGGAGTTGGACGATGAAAATGGGGAGAAGTCAGAGCGGAAGAATGATACTTCCAGAAATAGTTCTGTTACATGCAGAGATCAGTGTCTTGCTGCTGGCAGCGTTGCCTTTCCCTTCCTTCTCATTGTTTTTTGTGCTTCGTATTTACAACGTACTTTGACCAAACATTTCATTTCATTTTTTAAGCTAAAAGAAGCATAAGGAAATGGAGAAAAGATCCTACTCACCTTTTCTCTCCCATGTGGTCAGTGCACTCACAAACCTATCTTGTGGTGTTCTTACTTTGTCTTCCTCCAAATTTGCAGCAGCACTGTGGGCTTACCTATCGATTGAAGCTTACCCTTGTTGCTGTCACCAGGCACCAGGAGCACTGTCCTGCTTTATGCCACATAGCAAATTGAAATGAGCCAGACACTTTTGTTCAGCAACATTTCTGAAATTCACAATTTGCTTCTGAAAAAAGTATGGATCAAAACCCCAAGTAAATCAAAGCAAATGAGCATATATAGGTGCAGTAAACAAGTATACATTTATGTATCCTTTTGGAGGCTTACACTTCAACATTTGTTATGAAAATTAGAGTTTCGTTTATTATGAAGAAAGAAAGAAAAATGTTTTCCATGAATATTTATGTTTCAGACAGGTCAGTGATCAACTTCTCATTTTACAGATCTCTACAGCTGCAAAATGAATTAGTGAGGTCTTATAATACTGATTAGCACAATTATCTGCTAGTATTTGATTATCACAAAACCAACACAGCCTTTTCTGCCTGTGGTCTCACTTCCTATTTTCTTCTGTATCCTTGCACTTTTCTGCTTCAGCACTGACAGTGCACAAGGATGTCTCATGGTTAGTTTTGGAAATTTCCATTCAAAGGACAAGAAATTCCTGGTTAGGCATCAGTGCACGTTACATAACAGTGAATTGTCAAATCTTTCAAAAACCTCAGTGTAAAAAAAAAAAGGGGGGAGAAAACTTCACGGATTAAGAACTGCAAGAAATGATAAATGAAATAGATAAAGATGAGGATAGAAACTGAATAAGCAGGATTTCTAGGAGATCTTGAAGAATCCAAGTCTTTACTGAGATGTTTTATTCATTCTTTGTGCAAAGATTATATGCGTGCAAATAAATTTTTTATATATATATATGTATGCGTGCGTGCTGGTGTGTATTTTATGCAGATATCTGTGGTAGGTGCCTAGCAAAGAGGCCATAAACAGACATTCAGGGAAGAGCAAAAGCATGGCAAGGTTACATAACACTTCATTTGCATCTTTCTCTCTCTTTCCAGCTTTTTTCAGCTCTGGGAATTTTCTGAATCTGTTTTTCTATTGATAAACTAACTGTCCACTGACAAACTTTTCAGATCGCAGTAAGGACTGTC